CACACTCTTCCCCCTCCCTGTCCTTACTTTAGTTTCTGTTTCCCTGCAGGCAAGTCCAGCTTGAGCTTCAGAACTTGAAACATTTAAAAACTTTCAAAACATTTCGACTTGCCTCGTTTCATTTCGAGGCTGTTTTGAAGCTCTCTGTTTCATTTTGATTTTGCTGTTTTGAGCTTGAAACACGTCGAAACAGCATCAAAATGAAACTGCCAGAGAAATTTTGCGCAGCCCTAGCACACACCTCCACAGGACAGAATGGGACTGGCCACCAGAGGCACTTTAGAGGCATATAGGATTTAAGTCTTTGTGTCTCGCCCTTTCTGCATATCTCAGAGAACACCCTATACTAGCTTTACAATGACTGGGTAAAGAAAGAACTATGAAAAAACCTGAAGCAAACCTAAGCAGAATGCAAAGACCATTTTAAGAGTTAGGGTAAAAAGCCTGCATGGAAAATGCATGACAATTCTTAAGAATGTTGATGGAGAACAGTCCACTTAAAGCCATCACTTGAACCCCTCATTATATCTATATAAGTCATCACACAAACTGGCTGGGATACCAGTTTGAAAACAGGTTAAACCAGAGACAAATACAGAAGATGCACCACATGTTGAGATTTCTTCTCATGTCTCTACACCTGATTTGACCATTTTGTTACACATGCTTGTGCCAGTTTATTGTGCTTGGCGTTTCATTGTACATGTGCCTTTAAGCAGTGGGCATTGCAGCAGGTGTTGCATAGTCTGAGGCTCTGTGCCAATGAACCAATGGTATAGCCCCACTTCTTTATTAGTTCCTTGGAGTGTCCACCTCCAGTGTGTAGGCAGTTGAGGCATAACCACCTGTGCCATAGTTTGTAAGACTCTGGTGGGAAAGACTCAGCTGCTGGAAAGTCCATTTTTTCTCTGTCAGGTATTTTCTTCAGCCTCTCATTCCATATCTGTAGTTGTGTCTCCTTGAGTGTGGTATCAAGAAGTTAGGTGCTGGTGAGGAAACTCCTACATGATTTCAGACATTTGTGTGTTGTGGGATGGTCATATAACGGATGCTCACATCTTTAGTTTGTCTCAATCATTCTATTCCTCTGGCTATTGCTTTTCTGTTGTCAGGCAAAGCAATGCTAGCCAACAGGTACATACTGTTTAGGCTGATAGGCTTCAACATCTTGGCCACATCTACATGACACACTGACTGTGCAGTAGCCTAATACATCACAAAAAGGTGTTCATCAGTGCTACTGCACAATAACTCAGGTTACTGCACAGTCATTTAGTACTTGTTTATATAACATCTCATGTAGACGTGGTCCCTGTGATACATTAGCAGCTATCGTTCAGGATGGGACCAATGTGCTTAGCATGTACAGATCTCTCCCATACAGGGCAAACATACTCAGCAGAGGAGAAGCTGAGACTCAAAGTAGTGGTTTGGATAGCTGAAGGGCTAGCTCCCCATTTTGTGTTGGGGAGCTTCTATTAAACATTGTGCTTACCTTTGCTTTTGTCTTCATGTATGTTCTTTGTATGAGAGGGTTCAATCAAGGGTGAATCGAAGGTAAACTAGAATTGGATAGTGGGATACTGGGGTCCCAGACCATGTAATGTTGAGCTGGCAGTTAGCCTCGTGGTTTCGCAGAGCAGAGACACATACTTGTATTTTCACTGGGTTGGCAAGTAATTGATTTTCAATGGAGTATGAGGGATGCCTCATTTAGGGATTTTTCAACATGGTCAAAACCAGTGTTTTGGGCTGTTATGCACAGGTCATCTGCATAGATTAAACATTTTGTTTCCAAAACTGTTGGTTGGTCATTTGTATAGATGTTCTGTAATAGCAGTGCAAGTACACTTCCTTGGCGGAGGCCATTAATCCGCCTCCTCCATCTGCTTCACTTCCCATCCAGTGTGTCAAAAAAAGTCTGCTTTCAAGCAGGGTTCATATCAGCTCTGTAAGGTGTAGATCTGTGGTCATTTCCAAGGTCTTGTGAAGAAGTTGTCAGTGGTTAACTGTATTGTAAGCAGCTGTTAGGTTGATGAACACAGCTCCAGTGATTTGGCCTCTTTGAAAATCATCCTTAATATACTGAATTATGTTAAGCAGCTGGCTTGTTATTGATTATCCAGGATAAAAGCCACCCTGTTTGCAGATTAGGTATTTATCCATGCATGGGGCAACCAGTTTAATACCAGTTGTTCGTAAAATCTTTATGTGTGGCACAGCAGGGAGATAGGTCTGAAGCTCTTTGGGTTGGATGGATTTTTCCCTGGCTTTAGAAGTGCCTACCTGAGTATGTTGCCATATCTTTGGAATTTTTTGACTTGCTGTGCATGTGTTATATAGGCAAAGGAGCCATTCTCAAACCTGGAGCCCAAATGTCTTGATTTGCTCCGTAAGTATGTCATCAAGGCTTGCTGCTTTCCTGGTCTTCAGTGTGTTAACACCAGCATTCAACTCAGTCATTAGGAAGGAGCTTGTAAAACCCAGGTCTTTAGGGTATTTGAACCTTTCCAGTCTGAGGATTTTTGTTGTTGTTTTTTTTTGGTTTTGGGGCTTTTTCCATTGAGAAGCATTTGTGAGCAACGACATTATGATGTTGATCTACCTTTTGTGGGTTGTTGCTTAGTTTATGTATTGTTGTCCATTCCTTTTTACTATTATAAGTAAAATAATAGCAAGGGGTCATAGCAGAAGTATTCGTGTTGTGAGCCCTATCAGGTAATAAATACCTAGTAATACCTGTGAATTCTGCTAACACTTCAAACCACGATTTTGACCCTACAGATTGTTCAATCATAACCAATTATAATGCCTTGTGACTGAAGTAGACATGAGCCCTCCTTAGGGTCAGCATTGACAGTGCTGTCTATAAACCTTGAAGGCTTTTCAACAACAAAAAAAGAACTAATGTGAAGACTAATAATAAATATTATCAGCAGTTCAACTCTGTCATCAGGTATGTACTGGGGAGAACATAAGTCACCAATGCCCTTACCTAGGATCTGTGCAGGTAAAACTTTTCCCTATCTGAGAGAGTCAGAAAGGGTAAGAACACAAACCTGATCAAGTAATAGCAAATGATAAAATGAAGCAAGCTCTTTTAGAAATTTACCTTTTTACTGGATAGACCACTGGAAACCAGGAATCTAGAGGTCTGACTGATTGTAATGACTCAGAATAATACTCATGATAAATCACCATTTGGAGATTGCTTGGCCATGGAATGAGCATCAGGCCGAGAAGAAAGAAAAGATGATCACCACAAAGGAAACATTAAGAACAAACTAGAAGGAACACGGACAAGACTGTGATATGAATTAATAAAATTAATTTAATTTCAACTGTAGCCAGATACCTGAAATTGTTAGCATGTCTGATTTCTGTTATACTGTAAATTAATTACATTTGAAACATTTTCCATAATTAATTTTAAAGGTAGAAAGAACAGTATTATTGCTGCTCTCAGCCAGCAAACGATCATGGTCTTACAGGTTATTTCTGTAGGAGTCATTGATGTTAGAGTCAAATGTCTTCCATGTGATTCCATTTATTTACATGAAATCACGACCTTCTACTTTCTTGAGCACAAGAGGAAACAAACAACCACAGACAGTTTCCATTCTCACAGCTTCAAGACTCTGTCAGCCAAAATCCCTACTGAGCAGCCCATTCTATAGATTTCTCCTGGAGCCACATGAACTGGCGTTCTTTCTTCTCAGTTCGTGAGCGAGCTCTGTCTCTGCTTCTCCACATGAATTGTCTCTCCTGTGTGCCTGTACATTCAGGTCTCTCTTTATGTGAGGGTTGCATTCCAAAAAAGTTTGCATAAAGTGAATTTGCATAAAGCAAATCCATTATTACATGTAATTAATAGGGCTGCGTGAAGCTTCAGTCCCTGATTCAACTCAGCAGAGATTCAGCCCAATCAGTGGCCAAATCTCTGAATCCGAATCGGATCAGAAGGCCCTTTAATCTCTCCGAATCGAATCTGAACCCTCTGAATCGATTCGGAAAGATTCAGAGATTCGGACATAGACACAACTTTAAATGTTTTTTCTACATACCTCTAGGTACCTGGCAGCTCATCAACGTTGCGATGGTGGGGCGGATAGAGCATCCCACAGGAGCTTGGGGGGCTCCCCAGTACGCTCAGTAGCATACCAGAAAGTGGACCAGAAGCACTTCTGGGTTTGCTGGGGAACATGCTGGTGGGTCCCCCCCATACCCAGGCTCAGTGACTGGTGCCTCCTGGGTCTCAGGGGGCACCTGGAGTCCCCCTGTTGCTGATTGCCAAGGCGAGGGGGGGCGCCCAGTGCACTCCCCGTCTAGTGTACTTCCATTCCACTTCCGGGTTTGCCACCAAGCATGTGCGGGGCCCCACCACGCTCCTGTGGGACATTCCACCTGCCCCACCATCGCAGCGTTCATGAGCCACACCTGGTACTTCAAGGTATGTAGAAAAAACATTTAAAGCTCTGTCTATGGCCAAATTGCTGATTCTCTGAATCAGCATTGAAACTTCAGATTCAGATTCAGCCAAATCAAATCAGGGACAGTAATCCAAATCAATTAATCAAATCACTGTTTCCGATTCAGGCCAAATCCAATCCAAATCAAATATGGCCTGTTTCGCACACCACTACTAATCAATAGGAATACATATCAGCCTCCTTTTTCGCTTCATGGCTGGCTCAGGAGTGGGGTTAGGAGATGCACTAGAAGGTGACTTAGACGACATTTCACTAAATTCAATAATAAAGGCAAATAGATGTACCACAATATGAGTGCAAGTAGTATAGCACTGCATGGAAGAATAGACAATGCAAGACTGAGGCAAGTGTGTGTTGGCATCAAATACTGCTTCACTCACCCTCCCACAATGCTTCACTCACATCACTGCATAGCCGCATTGCATGCTTCTTCACATAAGATCGAAATTTCTTGCACAAAGCGAGTTTCTGGTATAAATAAGGTCATTGCATATAAGCAAATTCACACAAAACAAATTTGCATAAAGAGAGACCCGAGTGTACAAGTGTCTGTATACAGCACAGCCGTAGCTGGACACCTGAGTGCCCTGGGCAGCAGTGGCACATGGGGCAGCATCAGTGGCTGAGCTGGTGGTGATGGTGGCAGCAGCCAAGCTAACAGCCCACGTGATGTTATTTTTGTGTGCTCTCCCCAATGCCAGTGTCCAGGGCTGGTGCTCTAGTTGCCCCCTTCCTTATGC